TATTGGGAAAAGAGCAGCCACAAATATGAATGCACAAGTATGTCTACAGTAGGATGAGTCCTTTGGGAATGGTATAACAAAATAATATGGTAGATTTATTTTTATATTTTTAAATTTTCATTTATTATTTTATTGTATGTGTATGCATGTATTGCCTGCATCTAGGTAAGTGCACATGTGTCGTACAATACCCGCAGAGGTCAAAAGAGGCTGTCGGATCCCTTGGGACTGGAGTTACAGACAGTTGTTAGCTGCAGTGTAGGTGCTGGGATTTGAACCCAGGTCTTCTGCAAGAACAACCAGTGATCTTAACTGCTGAGCCATCCTTCCAGCCCCTCATTTATTATTTTTATTTTATGTGTATGAGTGTATTGTCTGCATGTGAATGCACCCATGTTATGCAGTGCCATGGAGGCCAGAAGAGGGCTTCAGATTCCCCTGGAACTGGAGTTAAGGACAGTTCATAGCTACCATGTGGGTGCTGGGACTCGAATCCGGGTCCTCTACAAGAGCAGTCAGTACTCTTAACCACTGAGCCATCTCTCCAGCCCCATCCATTCTCTTTATTTTAAATTAATCTGAAAATTCAAAGTCAAGTACTTTAATTGTAAATTATGCAAATTTCCAAGATCATTAGAGCATTTTAACAATCTTTCTACATCTTACCCTTCTCAGACAGGAATGACTATTATGCTATTGATATGCACTCGTGTCTGTAATGAAGAAAGCCAAAGTGCAATCCATCCCAGTACAAGATAGGCAATACCCTTACCCAGTGATTCCTCACTTGAATTCTTGAGACAAAAATTCCCTGGAGTAACAGCAAAGGTAACATCCTCTTGATTTGATGTTAAAAGAACAATGGCCTCAGTCAGCAATCTAGAAAATGTAATGAAAAGTATTAACATTATTTGAAAAACAGAAACCTATAACCTCACTAACTTATACTCAAATCTTTAAACTGAAAATAAGCAGGCCTGGGTTTTGAAAATTTTACCTCTAAAGGCCTATCTTCTTTCTTAAGGAAACATGCAGATGCTGCAGTGTGAGCAGGACGCCAGGACAGTACAGTTTCTATACTGTAGATGGAGACAGTAGAAGACTGGGCTATTAAAATATAGCTGAAGTGAACTATAATAGAGATCCAATTGAGGACTAGAGGTTCTTACACAGTCTGCTGCCTGGGCTTTTCTATTACTTTTCTAGACTATCTAATACTATTATTTCAAGGTTCTCTTGACATCCAAATACCCTCTTATTCTAGGCTTTCTTTTGTTTGTTTTCTTCTTATTATTATTTTCTAAGACAAGGTCTTACTCTATAGCCCGGCCTGGCATAGAAATCAAGGTAATACTCCTGCCTCAGTCCCCGAGTACTGGGATTAAAGGTGTGAGCCACCATGTCTAGCTTAATTATGCTCTTTTTAAAAATACACATATTTGGAGCTAGAGATGGCTCAGAGGTTAAGAGCATTGGCTGCTCTTGCAGAGGACCCAGGTTTGATTCCCAGCACCCACATGGCAGCTAACAACTGTCTGTAACTCCAGTTCCAGGGGATCCAATGCCCTCTTCTGACCTCCAAGGGCATTGCCCAGCATGGGTGCACTTACACACATGCAGGCAATACACTCATACACATAAAGATAATAATAAGGCCAGGTGTTGTGGCACATGCCTTTAATTCCGGCACTTGGGAGGCAGAGGCAGGTGGATCTCTGTGAGTTCGAGGCCAGCCTGGTCTACTCACTGAGTTCCAGGAAAGCTGGGGCTACAGGGAAACCCAGTCTCAAAGACAAAAAAAATTTTTTTTAAGATAATAAATAAAAATTTCTTTAAGAGCCGGACATAGTGGCGCATGCCTGTAGTCCCAGCACTTGGGAGGCAGAGGCAGGCAGATCTCTGTGAGTTCAAAGCCAGCCTGGTCTACATAGTGAGTTCCAGGACAGCTAGGGCTACAGGGAGACCCTGTCTCAAAAAGACCAAAAAAAAAAATTAAAATATAAAAAACAAAGAAAAGTTGCATTATAAGATCTGTCCTCCTTTTGAAATTGAGGTGTTAGATAAAAGTGAAATTCTTAGAATTTATGCAATCTTAGTTGTTACCCTGATGCTAGACATTAGCTTAGTAATGTTTCTTGATGTCAGAATGCCAGGAACACTGATCAAGTTAATTTGGGAAATTTTCCCTTGTTTAAGGGGAGGTGTTATACAAGATGCCAAATAAATTTTGTTGATACTGAGTCTTACTACAAAGCTCAGGCTAAACTTGAACTCTCAGTCCTCCAGCCTCAGCTTCCCCAGTGCTGGGGTTACAGGCATGTGCCACTATATCTGGTTCCAACTAACGTTTTGTTTGTTTTTTTTCTTTTGTGGTTATAGTGTTCAAACCTAGGGACTTACGCATCACAGATAACAGCTCTATCACTGAGTTACACCTTGGACCTTAAAAAGTCAAATGCTATGACCAAGCTGAGCATCAAACTCTAAATAACTTGATATAAAAAATGGTGACATAGGGGCTGGAGAGATGGATCAGCAGTTAAGAACACTGTTCTTGCAGAGGACCCAGGTTCGAATCCTAGCACCCACATGGCAGCTAACAACAGTCCATAACTCCAGTTCCAAGGGATCTGACAGTCTCTTCTGTCCTCCACTGTCATTGCATGACACAGGTACACTTACCTACATGCAGGCAATATACACATACACATAAAGTAAAAATAAAAATATTTTTTAAAAAATGACAACATGAATGTGTGATTCAAAATGGAAGAAAAAAGCCAGGCATGGTGGTGCATGCTGTAGTGCCAGCACTCAGGAAGCAGAGACACACGAGGACTATAAGCTGCTGGCCTACCTTGGTTATGAGACCCTGTCACAAAAGTCTAGGGAAAAAAAAGGGGAGAAAAATACAAATTTCTAGTAAACATATATTTTTCAAACTCATTACTAATAATGAAAATGCAACAATTTGCCAGGTGTGGTGAAGCATGCCTTTAGTCCCAGCACTCAAGAAGGAGAGGCAGGTGGAGCTCTGTGAGTTCAAGGCCACAGAAAATGCAAAAATTTTACCTATTAGGTTGTTAAAATCTGTAAAGATTTAGTATAGCCTCTATTTAGATGAACCCTCCTACACTTTTGGAGAGAATGTAAAATGAAGCAAAGTATTCATATAATAATTTAGTTGTCATAATATATGCAAATTTAACATTTGTGTAAACCTTTGAGCCACTAACTCCACTTCTGCTGACAGGCAACCTACACCATGGCCCTAGTGATCCCCACTTCCAAGTATTTGCTCCCTTAATCCTCTCCCTTAAGTACGTATGGGCTGCTGGACTTACAGATTCACTTCAGAAAGAAAACTGCAGGAGGTGCAAAATTGCAAAATGGAAATTCTGACATTAGGGTTTAAAAGGACTGAGGCTTCTGTCTTGGGAGTGCTCTAATCATCATCATTTGACATTGTGAGGACTCTCAGGCAGCCTACAGACACATGGAAGGGTCTGAGCCCACCAGCACCCTGCATGTAGGAGTTTGAGAATGGATCTTCTTGAGCTTCTAGCAGCCATGCTAGTGAGCTCAGAAGTGCATCCCCCAGTTGAACCTTCAGATAAGACTGTATCCCTAGCAGCTCATGAGAGACCCTAGAACATCTAGATAAGCCGCAGCTATTATAACAGAATAACACATGTCTGACTTTTAAAGATTTTTAACTTTGGAGGAAATATATTTCTCAGCAATATACAGCTGATACATTATCCTATGCACTAGTGACAGCATTGCTTCTGATAGTAAAAATTGGAAGCAATCGAAATTTTTACTTGTAAGGTAATAGGAAAATTATAATTCAGACATACGATGAAAAAATAAGCAATTATACAAAATAAAAGTTTTATTAAAGTGAACTAATATCAAGCTCTTCACAATATATTAAGTTTCTAAAGCAAGTTTTGGGCCAACAAGATGGTTCAGCAGGTAAAGGTACTTATTGTTAAACCTGATGACTGAAGTTCCATGTCCAGAACTCAAATAGTAGAAGGAAAAAAACAATTCCCACAAGTTGTCCTCTGAGTTCTACACATATACTGTAGGGCTCTCTCTCTCTCTCTCTCTCTCTCACACACACACACACACACACACACACACACACCAACACACAAAAACAAATGTAATGAAAAATTTAGGAAGTAAGTTTCAAAAAATATCAATAGAAGGTCTCTTTCTCTCTCCCATTTCAAAAAACCATCGATAGGTCTCTCTCTCTCATTTCAAAAAACATCGATAGAATCTCTCTCTCTTTTTTTTTCTCTCTCTCTCTCTCTCTCTCTCTCTCTCTCTCTCTCTCTCTCGTACTTGGGATTGAACGTAGGGTCTCGCATGTGCCACAAAAGTGTTCTATCACTCAGCTGTATTCTCCATGGGAAACAGGGTCTCACTAATTTGCCTGGGCAGGTCTTGAACTTTCAGTCCTCTTGGCTTCAACCTCTAGAGTAGCTGTCACCAGGTCCAGCTGAACAGAAAGACATTTTCTTTCAGAAAATAAAACTACATATGTGTCTAGTAGGTAGGTAGAGAGAGAGAGAGAGAGAGAGAGAGAGAGAGAGAGAGAGAGAGAGAGAGGGGCTCATGATCTCAATTTCCAATTAATTCTGTTACAATAGAGATTAAGTTTCAATGTGTGTTTGGGAGAACAGGGTAGCAAAAAATTTCATGTATAGTCATGAGAGGATGTATTGCAAGCAACATGGATTACTTTCATAATTTTAAAAAAGCAGTAAGGATAAAATATACTTGATACAAACTCAAGCTAATTAGTAGTTAATGCTGCAACTGAATTAAATGATTGGTGCCCATTCACTGACAACTATAGCTCACTCACTATCTAGAAAAAAAACTGAAATACTTAAGAGGAAAATCAGTTTTCATAAAGAAATATTAAATTTTCCTCAAGATGTATGTTCTAAAGCTCAAATAGAAACTTAATGTGAAGTATCACAATATATTTTCCCCTTTGGCTAAAACCTGAGGTAAAAAGTGGCCATTAAATTATTACTGTTGGGGGCTGGAGAAATGATTCAGTGGTTAAGAACACTGGCTGTTCTTGCAGAAGACGCAGGTTCAAATCCTAGTACCCACATGGCAGCTAACAACTGTCCATAAGTCCAGTTCCAGGGGATCTGATGGTCTCTTCTGTCCTCCACAGGCATTTCATGACATAGGTGCACTTACCTACATGCAGGCAATACACTCATATACATAAAATTAAATAATAATGATAAATAAATATAAATTATTACTGGTACCATTAAGCAGTTACTTAGCTATTTTTCTCAAAGTTTCTTCTTGACAATGTCGACTTCTCTAAGTCACATTCCAACTTAAAAAGCCCTGTGACTGATTGGGAAGCTCTAGGAGGATTCAGGGGAACGAGAGAGTAATGGGAGTGAACACGAGCAAAGCACAGTGGTACCCAAGAATGGAAATACCACGATGAAACCCATTAGTTTTCATGCTAATTAAAAAATATTTTTAAACAGAAAGAAAACCTCTAAGGGATTAATTCTTCATATGTGAGGATACTATATTCAGAAAAAGAAAAAAAGAAAAAGGTACCAGAGAACTCATTACCTTGGATTAATCATCAGTAGGTTAGTACACATATTCTTTTCAAGAAGAGTTTTCAAGGGCTGACTTTCTTCAAAACTCACATTATGAGTTCTTTTAAGACCTTTAAAAATAAAGCAGCATATTAATAACTAAGTGCAAAGTGAACAGATTTTATGTCTACTTTCACAGCTAATTTAAAGCAATAAAGTTAACGTATTATTTTATGTGTGGCAGGTGCATTATAGTTTACTGGTGAACTGTCTTAATGTGATATGTTGGCGCTCCCTAGTGGACATTGAGCAACATGTCACACTCTCTGAGCAATCAAGCAGTTGAAAGTCGAGCAGTTTGGTAGCTTTTCTTTTCTTTTTTTCTTTCTTCCTTTCTTTCTTTTCTCTCTCCCTCCCTCCATCCCTCTCTTCCTTACTTCTTCCTTTCTTTCTTTTTTCTTTTCAGGGTCTCACATAACCAAGGGATCTCAAACTCACCATGTAGCTAATTGAATTCCTAATTCTTCTGCCTCAACCTCCCAAGAGCTTGGATCACAGGCATGTATCATCACACTCAGGTGCTAGAGATCAGGACTTCTTGAATGATAGGCACACACTCAACCAACTGAGCGACATCTCTAGCCCCTGACAAGAGGTTTCTTAAATTGTGTATTAAACAGTGATTGGTTACTACAGACCACATTTCCGCACAACTCATTTTGAATCTTTCATCCAGGACTGGTCTTTCCACATAGGACTTTTGGCAGTTTGACTACCACATCTGGTCTGTGAATTCTTTTTCCTTTAGAAGAGAAGAGGTGGCAATACAAACCGAGCATTCCTATGCTAAATGCTTAGCAACAGAAGAGTTTCAGATTGAGGGTTTTGTTTGTTTGTTTGTTTGTTTGAGACAGGGTCTCCCTATAGCCCCAGATGGCCTGGAACTTGCTATGTAGACCAGGCTGGACCTGAATTCACAGAGATCTGCCTGCCTATGCCTCCTGAATGCTGAGATTAAAGGTGTGCACCACCACACCCGGCTTATTTTTTTATATATTTTATTTATTTTTGTTGTATTTATGTGTATGAGTGTATTTTCAGCATGTATGTGAGTGCACCTGTGTCCTGCAATGCTGCGGAGGTCAGAAGAGGGCTTCGGATCCCCCTGGAACTGGAGTTAAGGACGGTTCGCAGCTGCCATGTGGGTGCTGGGAATCGAACCCAGGTCCTCTGCCAGAGCACTTAGTGCTCTTAACTGCCAAGCCAATTCTCCAGCCCCTTATTATTTTTGTTTTATGTGTATGAGTGTATTGCCTGCATGCTTGTAAATGCGCCCATGTTGTGCAATGCTGGAGGAGGTCAGATTACCTAGAACTGGAGTTACATTCAGTTGTTAGCTGCCATGTGGGGGCTGGAAATCAAACCCAGGTCCTCTGCAAATGCAGTCAGTGCTCTCAACCACTGAGCCATCTCTCCAGCCCCTTGTTTTGCTTTTTATCTTAGAATATTTTCATAGGCTTTACAAGTTGAGTATCTCTAATCTGAAAATCAGATTTCAGAGGATTTCTGATTTCAGATTTGCAGACTAGGGATGCTAAACTTGTAATGTGTCTGGCCCTATGTGCCAGAAACTAGCGTGCATTTTACATGCATTCTCTCTGATCCTCAACTGCAGCACTTCTTGGGAGGGAAGGACTGTGAGAAGAGGAAACCACAGATCAGTGAGATTAAAGGACTTTTCAAGACTATACTTTTCTAGCAAGTGTAACTAAAGATTTAATCCGTTTGCATGTAGAACCCATAATAATCAAATCCAGGTGAGCTATAATCTAACTTTCCAAAAGTTAGAATGAAGGCAACATAATCCTGCAGTGAGCATGAAAAGAACTAACCATTTGGGTGTGGTGATGCATGGCTTTAATCCCAGTACTCAGGAGGCAGAGGCAGGTGGATCTCAGAGTTCAAGGCAAGCCTGGTCTACATAGCCAGTTCCAGGCCAGCCAGGGAAACCCTGTCTTAAAAAAAAAAAAAAAAAGATTAGCCAAGGTTGGGAAGATGGCTCAGCAGGTAAAGGTGTTTGCCGAGAAGCATGATGACCTGAGTTCAATCCCAGGGATCTAGGTGGTAGAAGAAAAGAACCTATTCCTAAAAGCTCTCCTCTGACCTCCACATGTGTGCTATGGCACTCCTGTGCATGCATGCATGCATACATACAAAATAAAAAATAAAAAGAACTGGGGGCAAGAGAGATGGCTCAATGATTAAGAATACATACTGCTCTTGCAGAGGACCCATTTGGTTACCAGCACCTACAATGACCAGCACACAAAGAGAGCATTGGATCCCCTGGAACTAGAGTTACCACATGGGTGCTGGGATTAGAAGTAGGTCCTCTGCAAGAGCAGCAAATGCTCTTAATTGATGACCCATCTCCCCAGCCCCTAAATAAAAAAAAAAAAAAAAGAACCAGACACATTTCTCAACTTACATGTTTGGTGGGATTCATGGTTGATTGGTTTTACTGAATAACAAGATTGACTTATTGACTGACTGACTACTGACTGACTGAAAGGCTTTCACTACATAGCCTTGGATGGCTGGGAACTTGCTATGTTAACTACGCTAACCTCTAACTTGTAGCAATCCCCCTACCTTTGCCTCCTGAGTGCTGGGATTACAGGTGTGCACAACTACTCTCAGCAATATTTATTAGCTTAATAAATATTTATCCACAGTATCTGTGCATCAGGTTCTGTTAATTTGGCTGTATAACAAAACACTCCAAAATTGAGAGCCTTAAAACAACAAATACTTGTTATTTCTCATGATTTAGTTGAGTGGTTTTTGAGTCCTAGTGTGGGCTTAGGATGGGCTTGCTTTCTCTCTGGGATGGATGGAGCCTCTCACTACAAATACTTCAGGAGTCTGAACAATACCAGTCTTGTTCTCATGCTGATAGAACACATCATAAGGCAATAGTTGAAGCTGACAGGCCTTTTTAGGCTGGGTTTAGAAGGGACAGAGAATCACTCCTAGTGCATTCTGTTGGTATCTAAGTAAGATTATGGCTAGCTGAGATTTAAAGTGGACAAAAAAGCTCCAGCTTTTGAAGGGAGTGGCTGTAAATTATTTGGAAACTTAAAATCTACCACACAGATGGTTTTAGGATCTTGAACTAGCAGAGAACAAACCAAGTAAAAATCTTTGTGTTCTCAAATAGACCTTTCATTCCTTTTTAATTTTAAAAAATTGTGTGTACTTGAATATATGTGTGGGGGGGGTGCTGGAAGAGGTTGGGAGAGGGCACTGGAGCCCCTGGAGCTGGAGTTGCAGGAGGCTGTAAGCTGCCCAACATGAGTGCTGGGAAATGAACTCCAGTCCTCTGAAAGAGCAGTAAGTGCTCTTAATCATTGAGCCATCTCTCCAGTCCCTACATTTTTTCCATTGATTTATTTTGTTTGGGGGGGTTGTGCATTTGCCATGGCCTGTATGTACAGGTCAGATGACAACTTTTAGATCAATTCTCTTCTTCCAACATGTGGATTCTAGAAATCAAACTCAGGTAGTCAGGCTTGTCAACAATGACCTTTACCTGCCAAACCATTTTGCTGGCCCCTCAGACCTTACATTCTAGAAGGAAAAGACTTACAGGAAAAAAAAAAAAAAAAAAAAGCCAGGTGTGGTGGCACATGCCTTTAGTCCCAGCACTCAGGAGGCAGAGATGGGTGGATCTTTTGTGAGTTCAAGGCCAGCCTGGTCTACATAGTGAGTTCCAGGTCAGCTGGGGCTACACAGAGACCCTGTCTCAAAAAGAATGAAAAAAAGTAAAACAACAGGCCATGGAGCTGAACATGCATCTGAAGAAGTATGCTGAGGCTTTTGGGTCCTGAACAACTCTATAGAGTATGGAACTCTAGAATTATATATATATGTATATATCCATCATCTGGCCTCTTTTTTTCCCGGGGTCTTGATACATAGCCCAGGCTGGCCTCAAACCATAGATCCAACTACCTCAGCCTCTCCAGGGCTGGAATTACAGATGTGCAACACCACACTCAGCAATATTGACTATTTTAAAGAAAAACTACTGTTTTGAGAGTACACTAGCTCAAAAGTTGACAAATCTTCCCTGTTTTAAAAAAATACTTTCATGCCGGGCATGGTGGCACACGCCTGTAGTCCCAGCACTTGGGAGGCAGAGGCAGGTGGATCTCTATGAGTTCAAGGCCAGCCTGGTTTACATAGTGAGTTCCAAGCCAGCTGGGGCTACAGAGAGACCCTGTTTCAAAAAGACCAAAAAAAAATTGTTACTTATGGTGAGATAGGTAATGGTATACCTGGTGTTAAATGCAAACAAATTCTCTACAGAAGCAGCTACTGTTGCAGGTGTCTGAAGTGTTCTCTAGAAATCACTCATGTGCAATTGGAACTTCTCCCAGTGGGTCCAGAGAACTCCAAGAACCTGAGGCAGTGAAGCTAATGAGGAACCATTACTCCATAGCTGCCACTTTTGTGACACTTGGGATTTCAATGGACAGTGGCACTTTCAAAAGTGTTTAGTTATTCAATTTTTTTGTTTTGTTTTTGAGACAGGGTCTATGAGCCCTGACTGACCTGGCTGGCTATATAGACCAGGCTGGTTTCAAATTCACAGAGCTCCACCTACTTTTGCCTCCAGAGTGCTGGAATAAAGGTATGTGCCACCACGCCCAGAACTAGTTATTCAATTTTTTAACCAGTTTGAAGTCATTAGCAAATCTTCAGGGCATCCTCCAAAAACTTGAGTCCAGTCTCTACTTCCCTTTATTAATACATGTGCATGTATCAGAGTTTCATTTTCTCTCAAATCAGTGAGCCCTCTTTCAGAAGCCATTCTCTGTGGAGACCTGTTTCTTGAGCCAGACAGAACTTATCAGCAGGCTGTTTATGAACAGCATGTTCTTCAGGGACAACCCATTCTTCATTCTGAGCAACTCTGGGGGCAGTGTAAAAGGAAAGCAGAAGGTTGGTGGAACCCTCAACAAGCAGAGCAAATACTTCTGGTGGATCTTGCTAGTAATGACAGAGGTCATGGGGCTGCAGAGATGGCTCAGAAGAGCACTGGCTGCTCTTGCAGAGGACCCAAGTTTGGTTCCCAGCTTCCACATTGGGGTGACTCACAACCATACACATAAGATTTATACACATAAAAATACATTAAAAATTTAAATGATAGAGATCATATTTTTTTTAAATTTTCTCTTTGCAGATGCCAAGTAATCACTATTCTGGAGGTTATGGTTAGAGTCAAGGTGACTAGTCCTATGTGGTAGCTCATATTTTTTTGTTTGTTTTAGGTGTATGAATGTTTTGCCTGTATATGGATATGTACACGCAGCCATGCAATACCCACAGAAGCCAGAAGAGGGCGCTGGACCACCTGGAATTGGAGTTAGAACTGTTAGCCGCCATGTAGGTGCAGCTCATATCTTGGCAACTGTTTCCTACCAACAAAGAGAGCTAAACTGACTATGATAACCCCTACAGAGTCCCAATCTGTATTTCTAGCAGCTAATTAGCTATCTTTTCAGGTGACTTTTCCCAACTGAACGTGTCTTGACCAGATTATTAGTGTAAAATTGCTAGCATCATGCCTGGAGAACTTTTAACTTTGAAAGAACTACTTAGCCCAAGGACTGAAGCAGCATCCATCCCCCAGGGCACTTTCCTTCTTATGTCTTTCCCTCCCTGGTGTGGTGCCACCATGAGGCTTGAGTGGGACCTGCTCCACTTCTAGCTCTGGAATTCTCTAGCATAAACCTGTACAGTACAATGTGGTTCAGGTATGGCAATCAGTTAATCTGACTGGAGAACAGAATCCCCCTGGCCACCAGACAGAGTCCAAGTTGGTCTAGTCAACAAAGTCAACCACTTTTGTCAAGATAGATCTACAAGGCAAAGTTTTCACTATCTCATTGTGTAAAAGTAGAAACATCTAGTCCCTGTTGCTAGTGGAAGTTACCTTATTGTAAGTTCTATTGTGGTGGTGGTAGTGGTGGTAACTTTGTATGCTGTGGACCCTGTGAAGGAAGAGGAGGAAAAAGATGAATAGGAGGGGGAAGAAGAGTAGGAAGAGGAAGAGGAAGAGGAAGAAAGAGCAAACGGAAAAAGGAGGAGAGGGATGGATGAGGGGGCCAGGGGAGAAGAACAAGGATGCAAAAAGGTAGAGGAGGAGTTAGTAGGAGCATAGACTGAACTGTGCTTGTGACCTAACTTCAAACTTTAGCCTTATATGAGCCTATGCTATTGAGCTGAATTGTCTGGCTTTTTTCTTCTATTGCTTGTATCTTAAAGTATCCTATATTATACAACTACACTACAAATAGTACTTTAAAATGAATCAATCACAAATATTTTGGGTTTTGTTTTGAGATAGAGTCCCATGTATCCCAGGCTGACCTTGAACTTGCTATAAAGCTGAGAATGACATTGAACTTCTGATTTCCCTGCCTCTATATACCCCAAGTACTAGGAGTGCAGGTGTTCACCACTATGCCCAATGTACAAGTATTTATTGAACATTAATGGAGCCACTGAAGAGATATTTCCCATACTGAGCATTTTATTTAAAATTCACCTGGAGATAAGGAGTGTGTATGTGTGTGGGAGGGACAGAGAACAACCTCAGGTGTCATTCTTCAGGTGCTATCCACGATTTTTTTAAGATGGGTTCTCTCACTGGTCTGGGGCTTGCAAAGTAGGGTAGCCTGGCTGGTCAACATGCCCAGGAATCTCTCTATCTCTGCTTCCCAAGCATGTGGAACCACACTCAATTTTTTTTTTTTTTGAGACAGGGTCTCCCTGTAGCCCCAGCTGGCCTGGAACTCACTTTGTAGACCAGGGTGGCCTCGAACTCACAGAGGTCTGCCTGCCTCTGCCTCCCAAGTGCTGGGATTACAGGAGTGCACCACCACGCCCAGCTCACACCCAACTTTTTTTTACATGGGATCTGGGTATTGAATTCCTATCTTTGTGCTTATAGGCAAGCACCTTACTGACTGAAACATCTCCCCAAATAAACATTTAAAAATTTATTTTGTGGGCCATGTGTGGTGGTGTAAGTCTTTAATCTCAGTACCCAGGAGACAGAGGCAGGCAGATCCACCTACCTCTGCCTCCTGAGTGCTGGGACTAAAGGCGTGTGCCACCATGCCCAATCATGAGTCTCAATATCTTAAACATAAAATACTAAGAAAAACCACAATACTTTAGACTACTTTGAATTACACCTACCATGTCTGCAGAAGAACTGAAAAACAACTTTGCACTTGTCAGATCTGGTGAATATTCTGCACTTCTCTACATTTCTTTCAAGAGAAGTGAGACATCTAAATATGGGCAGAATTGACTGTAACACAAACACATTGTAAACATTAAACAAGTATGGCTGTTTGATTAGCTTTTTAAAACCTAACAAAAGAAGTCTGTGCATTCATAAATGACATTTAAACTATTCAGTATAACAGAGACTTATACCCTATAAGATGAATATTTTTCCCACCTAGAAGAAAAACCACTTGAATTTACCTTTATTGCCAATTTACAATTTAAATTCAGTGGTATGTCATTGTCGGTCACTGTGGCTGAGGCTGACCATTGATAATGTTGAAAAAACACAGGTGAGAACAGGACATATCCATATGTTGAATGACAAGAATTCACAGATCTCAGAGCAAGCTGGAAAAATAAGTTAGTTATTTAGAAGGAGAAAACCAACTTTAAGTCATAGTTTAACTTTTAACACTGTTATGAATATCACAAATATGTCCAAACAAAACCATGAGGTGTGAACTATAGCCTGCATTGTACAATGTGTAGAATTTACATGTACACATATATATGTATACTGAACATGTTTATTAAATCTAAAATCTTAAATGATAACATTAAATAATTGTAAATGCCTACAAAGACCATAACTTTAAAGCATGAGTGACAGAAAGCAATATAAAGGGACCCTCAGCAAATTGGCCATCTCACACCTTGTCTAAGGGAAGAGACTGTGACTCAGCTTCAGCAACTCTGGGAATGCAAGGGTAGAATTATTGAGTTTCTGAATTTATTTTTTTATGTGCATGAGTGTTTTACCTGCATGCATTTAAGTGCACCTGTGTCACACAAAGCCTGTGATCAAAAGAGGGGGGTCAGATCCCCTGAAACTGGCAATACAGACAGTTGTTAGCTGCCATGTCGGTCCTGGAAATTGAACCCAGGGCCTCTGGAAGAACAGCCACTGCACTTAACCACTGAGCCATCTCCCCAGCCCAGGGTTTCTGAATTTTTAACAAAAGCAGGAAATTAAGATTTGCAGGTAGATGCTTACAATTTGTAAACAGAAATTATTTTAATTTTTTTAAAAATTGTTTATTTTTCTTTTATGTGTATGCATGTTATTCCTGTATGTGTGTAAGTGCACCCATGTTGTGCAGTGCCCACAGAGGACAGAAGAAGGCGTTGGATCCCCTGGAACTGGAGTTACCGATGGTTGTTAGCCGCCACTTGGGTGTTGAGATTCAAACCTGGGTCTTTTGCAAAAACAGCCAGTGGTCTTAACTGCTGAGCCATTTCTCCAGTCCCAAATTATTTAATTTTGTTTTAGGTGTGATGTAACTCACCTTCAGTCCAAGCACTTGGGAGGTGATGGCAGAAGGATCAAGAATTGAAGACCAGCTTCAGCTACTGAGTGAGTTTAAGGTAGCCTAAGCTACATGGCATCCTGTCTCAACTTTTTTTTTCAATTTTTTAAAATATATTTTTTATTATTTTTATTTTGTGTATGAGTGTATTGCCTGCCTGTATGTGAGTGCACCCGTGTCATGCAATGCCGTGGAGGTCAGAAGAGGGTGTCGGATTCCCCTGGAACTGGAGTTAAGGACAGTTCAGAGCTGCCATATGGGTACTGGGAATCGAACCCAGGTCCTCTGCAAGAGCAGTCTGTGTCCTTAACTGCTGAGCCGCTTCGCCAGCCACCCCCCTTTTTTTAATTTTTAAGGAAGGTGCTTTAACTCAGGGATTTGTGCATACTAAACATTAATTCTGAGTTACACCTCCAGCTCTACTGATTTAAAACAAACCCAATAAGGGTAGACAGATGGTTTAGCCATTAAGACCACTTGCTGCTCTTGCAGAGGACTTGAATTCAGTTTCCAGCACCCACATGGGGTGGCTGGGAACCACCTGTAACTCCAGCTCCAGGGGATCCAATGCCTTCTTTTGGCCTCCATGTGTATTTGTACACATGTACACACACACACACACACACGAATAAAAATTAAACATCAGGGCTGGTGTGATGGCTCAAAAGTGCTTGCTGTACAAGCCTAATGATCTGAGTTTGATTCCCTAGGTTCCATGAAAGAACCGACTTCCAAAAGTTGTCCACATGCATACCACGGTGTGCCCATACTATCACACATATATCACCCATACAAACAAATGCACACACACACACAAATAATAAGGGTCTAGAAAGATGTATCACTGGTTAAGAGTAGAGGATTCAGGTTCAGTTCCCAGCACCCACATGGTGGCTAACAACCAGCAGTAACTCCAATTCCAGGGGATCTAATGCCCTCTTCTGGTCTCTGTGGGCACTGACCACACACGATGCACTCACATACGTGCAAGCAAAACACTCATACACATAAAATAAAAATAAAATAAATTTTTGCCAGGTTTTGTGGCACATGCCTTTAATCCTAGAACTCAGGAAGCAGAAGCCTGTGGATCTCTATGAGATCGAGACCAGCCTGGTCTACATAGTAAGTTTCAGGCCGGTTGGGGCTGCAGGGAGACCCTGTCTCAAAAAGACCAAAAATAA